TTCTGTCTCTCCCTCTCTCTATGCCCCTCCCCCAGCTCATGCTCTCTCTCTTTGTCAAAAATAAACATTAAAAAAAAAATTTAAAGTACAGATGCCTTAATTAGATGCCAAATCAAAATTAGCCAGAGAACAATAAGAATGAGATGGAACTAGCTTCGCAAATATTACAACACTATAAAGAAGCTTCAGTAACTAAAACACAGAGTTATTAGCAAATGAATAAACAGACTAATAGAACAGAACTTAAAGTCCAGAGGCTTTAGAACGATAAAGCATCTCAAATTAAGGGGTATTTTCAGGAAAAACGTGGGGAAAAAAAGTTAGATCCATACCTCATACCCCACACCAGGATAAGTTCTAAATGGATTAGAGATTCAAATACAAAAATCAAAACCCCATAAATATTAGAAGAAAAATGGAAGAATTCTTTTATAATTAGAGTGAGAAAAGCCTTTTTTTAAAATGTTTTATTTATTTTTGAGAGAAAGGGAGACAGAGTACAAGCAGGGGAGGGGCAGAGAGAGAGGGAGACAGAATCCATGAAGCAGGTTCCAGGCTCTGAGATGTCAGCACAGAGCCTGACAAGGAGCCCAAACCTGTGAATCATGAGATCATGACCTGAGCTGAAATTGGACGCTTAACCGACTGAGCCACCCAGGCACCCCAGGAAAAGCCTTTCTAATTAAAAACGTAAAAGCTTTCAAATTTGATTATATACAAGTAAAAAATTCTGCATAACAAAAAAGCATATCATACATAAACAACTAGGAAAAAAATTGCAATTCATATCAAAAAGGGCTAATTTCTATAACATGTAAGGAGTATCTAGAAATTGACAAAAGACAGAGAAGAAAACAAGTTAAAGATATGAATTGACAGTTCACAGAAATGATGCTTAGCTCCATTCAGAGTAAGAAAATATAAAACTACAATGAGATAAATATAAATTAAAACTCCTTTTACCTATCAGGTTGTTTACCTATCAACTATTTACCTATCAGAGTGGTAAGTATTCAATTGATAGGTATATTGCCTTGATCTAACTAAAGGGAAATAAGTTCTATCAAATATTGCTGATGAGAGTATAAACTGGTATAATCCCAAAGAGGATAATTTGGCATATTCAAATTACAAACAAATGTGTATTTTTTCTGACTCAAAAATTATTCTTGGGGCACCTGGCTGGCTCAGTTGGTAGAGCATACAACTCTTGATCTCAGGGTCATGAGTTCAAGCACACATTGGGTGTAAAGTTATCTTTAAAAAAAATTCTAGGGACACCTGGGTGACTCAGTTTGTTAAGCATCTGACTTCGGCTCAGGTCATGGATCTCAGTTCATGGGTTCAAGCCCCACATCGGGCTCCATTGAAGTGCGGAGCCTGCTTGGGATTCTCTCTCTCTGTCTCTCCTGCGCTTGCTCTCTTTCTCTTTCTTTCTCAGATAAATAAACTTTAAAAACAAAACAAAAAAATTCTACTTCTAGAAATATAATCTACAAGTATACATGTATATATGCAAAATTATGTAAGCACAAGATCATTTATTGTATTTTTAATAGAAGCTTGAAAAATCAGAGCGTCCGTTACTAAGGACCAAATAAATTATGGTACATCTATTCAATAGAATTCTATGCAAATACTTTTTAAAATGCAGAAACTCTTTATGTATCAATATAGAAAGATTACCAAGACGTATTCTTAAAAAAAACCAAACAACTGTGTAGAATAATATGAGTAATATACTAACATCTCTACAAGGGGGAGGAAAATAATATAAATTCAGATTGGATTGTAAAAAAAAAAAAAAAAGATCTCAGTCAGGAAGGATAACTGACAGCTAATATAATAACAGAAACTAATAAAACTGGTTGGGAGGTGTGTGGGAACTAAAAGGACGGAGAACAGAATGGGAAGAAGACTTTTCACTGTACACCTTTTTATATTTCTGATTTAAAAAAATACTTTTTGGGGCACCTGGGTAGCTCTGTGAGTTGAAATTCTGACTCTTGATTTTGGCTCAGGTCATGATCCCAGGGTCGTGGGATAGAGCCCCATGTTGGGCTCCACACTGAACATGGAGCCTACTTAAGATTCTCTCTACCCCCACCTCTCTCTCTTCCCTCTCCTCCACTAACACTCTCTCTCAAAATAATAATAAAATAGTAAAAGACTAATAAAAAACATTTTTATTCAAAGTAGTCTTTAAAATAAAAATATAAAAATGTAGATAATTAGGCTCCAGTCTCAGGGAAACTGATCTCTTGCACATCTGGAGCAAGCCCAGGCCTATATTCTATTTTTTTCTTAAAAAAAAAAATTTTTTTTTAATGTTTATTTATTTCTGAGACAGAGAGACACAGAGCATGAGTGTGGGAGAGGGAGAGGGAGAGGGAGAGGGAGAGGGAGAGGGAGAGGGAGAGGGAGAGGGAGAGGGAGAGGGAGAGAGAGAGAGAGAGAGAGAGAGAGAGGGAGGGAAACACAGAATCCGAAGCAGGCTCCAGGCTCCGAGCTGTCAGCACAGAGCCCGACGCGGGGCTCGAACTCACAGACCGTGAGATCAAGACCTGAGCCGAAGTCGGACGCTCAAACAACTTAGCCACCCAGGCACCCCAACCTATATTCTGTTTTTAAGAGCTGAGAGCCACTGCTATAGAATTTCTTAGGTGAATCATAATGGCTTCCTGTCTCTTTTCATGGCATTGATAAATACTGTTTCTAGTCTTTGTTTTATGTTTTATTTCAAACAGAATTTTGGTGAAGAGTACGTTAATAATCCTTAGGATATCTGGAGGCTAAAAGAATGAGTAGACACACCAAGAAAACATTGCAATGAAGGTGACTACGTTTCCAAAATGGGTCTGCCTTGTCTGTCATCACAACAAGCAACCTGCACTTCTCTAAATAATGCATTTAGCATAAAAACATTTCATTCAAAGCTATCTGAGCTTCATGGTTGTTGATTAAGTCATTATTTTGATGTGCCTACAAGGCTAGGCAAATCATAGGTACTAATTTGTGGTTTTAAAATCATAGCTAGACTCTTCATTACCAAAGAGTCAGGATCAATAAAAAGGGGGTTGGGGGATTGTAAAAATCTAAAGACCTACTACAGAGAATTCTATAGTCAACAGTTTACGTAGAATCATGAGGTAAATAATCTTATAAAACATCCACACTCAGGACTCAGTAAGGTGGTATTTTACTCATTTTCTGAGGTAGGAGCAGGGAAAGAAAGATATGTGAAATATATCTGCCCTAATTCTTATCAGCCAATCTCAGGGTCATGACATGAATCTTAGATACATTATTTAGAAAATCATTAATACAAACAACAAAAGCCGATAGGTTGCTTATGATCTATAAGAAATATTATCTGGGCTCTTTTCCATAACTATTTACAGAATTTTCATTCTTACTATACCCCACCATTTTACTATAATCATAAATGGAAAGCAAATTATGCAGGAAATATGGCCTCAACAAGAGAGATCATTCTAAGCTGGAAGGGAAGAGAACTAACACTTTCTGGACAACCGCTGTGTGCCAGGCACTATACCTTGCATTCTTGTATTTAATTCCTTATTTGATCCCCACAAAAATCCAATGAGGAATACATTTTGAATCCCAAACTGAACCTAAGACAGGTTACTGTGTTAAGCATTGGGTTAGACATTTTACACCTGAACAGATTTGAGAGTTAAAGGAACCTGTTCCAGGTCACACATCTGTTAAATAATGAAAAGATCAGAACTCAGACAATCTGACTCCAGAGACCATACTCTCAACTATACTTTTCCGCCTCTCTAAAATTCAAAGGAGGGGTGCCTGGGTGGCTACGTCAGTTGAATGTCTTGATTTTGGCTTGGGTTGCAATCCCAGGGTTGTGGGATGGAGCCCCCCGCGTCAGGCTCCACATCGAGTGTGGAGACTGCTTGGGAATGTCTCTCTCTCCCTCTGCCCTTCTCCCCAGCTCGTGCTCTCACTCTCTAACATAAAATTAAAAAATAAACAAACAAACAAATAAATAAAATTCAAAAAAAACCACAAGTGAAGTATTAGTTTTATCGATGGCAGTGAAAAAATAAGGCCATTTTAATTCTACATAAAGTTTTGAAGAGACTATTAGTTTAGTGATTCCTAGTAATGTTTGTTCTTTTCTCAAAAGTAATTCATACTTTTACACATATTCAGCTGCATTATGTAATTAAAGATTAACATTAAGTAGTAAAGATTAACTCTCTTGACAGTATTACCACCTAATATTCGTTTCATGCTTTTTAAGTTTACTAAAACGTTTACACATACATTATTTTAACTGATATAGGCATCAAGAGTTTCCCATCTTTACTCTTACAAAGTAAAGCCAAAAGCCTGGCATCTACCTAAGATCCCTCATAGCTCTGCCTTTCTAGCTTAATTTACTACCAATCACACTCACAAAAGGTTATGTTTCAGCTATGCTACTCTTTGAAGATTCTACTTCTGTTCATGCCACCATACATGCAATTCTCTTTGTCTGGAATGGTCTTCCCAATTATCCATCCAGTAAATTCCTACAGCTCTTTCAAGAGCTGGTTCAAGTATTTTCCCCATGAAACCTTCTGCTCACTGAATTAGTCACTCCCTCATTTAGGACCACCAAATCCTTTTTTACACACCTCTAGCATAAGATTTACCATAACTATTCATGTGTTTCTTTTTCTAACAGATTGAGCTTTTTGTACAGACTATGTCTTCTCTATTTTTGTATCCCTAGTGCCTTATGAAATGAGTAAAAGAATGAATTATAAAGAATATTAAATTGAGAATTAGAAGATATAAGTGCAAGTCTCATATTAAAATGCAAAGTTTACACCTCAGTTTTTTCAGCCGTAAAATAAGCAATTTTCAATTCAATTCTACATTTACTGCAACGGTTATGCTTTCTCATCAGTTTAACAGATGGAAATATTCTGAGAGCTCTTTAGAATGGTACAAAAAATCCAAATAATTGTTTTTACCTCCTCCATCATGACATCCTGTGTGGCTGAGATTTCTCCTTTGGTTGCTCCACTGTGTACCAGGTTCCGTAGTCGTATACAGAATTCTCTCATCTATGACAGAAACTTATTCAGTACTCCAAATCGTTACCCAACTTCAACTGTGAATGAGCCTAGCAGATCACTGCTAGTTCTTTTAAAGTGTAAATCAGCCAAGCCCCAGAGCAAAGTTCATAACACATATATTTTTCCCCAACCGGTCCACTTAAAAGACATAGCCAAAAACACTATCCCTAAAGGGTAAAAAAAACATTGATTATTCCCAAAGAATTCTAGATGCAACCGTTCCTGCTATGCAACTGATGGTACCCTCTGTGACAGTATGTGCCTGGATGAGGAACACATCTGATTCCATAGCACCTATCACCCTTAGGAAAAGCAGGAGACTTAAGATGATTATGCTACTCAGTCACTTCAGTAGATTTTTATTTAGAATTTTACAGATTATTCACTTCTCTTTCTCTGCCAAACTATTATAACAATGGCTATGCCAACCACCCGATAGTTTTCATTTTTGTTGTTTTCAATTTTGAAAGTACCTAAGATAGAGGTGAGTCTTAAATCTAATCAGTGCTCAAGAGGATCTTGCTCTCCCCTAAAATGAAATTCAATGATATACTATTAAGGATCTTTTAGCCTGTGGATAAGAATCCTCAGTTTCCTGGGTGGAAAATAACCTACTTCTAATATTGGGGAAACACATCTATATTTTAAAACGTCATCTTTCTCCCAGGGGTGACAAATCCAATTTCGGCCTCGTAGATCAAGAGAACAGATTCTTGTGACTCCCAGTTGTCAAAAAATGATGTCTGGTAGAGTAGCATCCCTGTAAGATTTATAACCATCCTTGGGGGGGGGGGGGGGGGGGGGGGGACGCCTCGCTGGCTTGGTCAGCAGAGCATGCGACTCTTGATCTCAGGATTGTGAGTTTACTCAAACGTATATGTATGTGTATGTGTAGGTATATATGTATATATATAACCCACCTTGGGAAAATGGGTTATGTAGAGAAGAAAATGATTCATTAAGATAACTCATGCAATAAAAAGCAGTTCAATGACTACATAAAATCTTTAGTGAGTAAATACACTGATGTGGTTTGGGGATGCCTCAGAACTCCACATACTCTTTAAGAAAAGTCTCACAAATACTTCTTTTTTGTCCCAGCCCACCTCCAATAGAACCCAGTGGACTTACAGCCCATATTAAGCATGGATTTTCTTTCCTCAGTACCCGTGAGAAAATATTTAAATCAATGGAAATAAAAGAAGGTTTTTAAAAAGAAAAAAATAAATAAACCAAAACATTCTAAACTCAATTATTTTTAAGTTAACATGTAGCTACGTTGCCTTTGACAGACACAGAGTAGCTCCTTGTACACAAACTGTGTACACTGAAATGCCCAGGAATCGCCCTGGAAAATTAGTTAAGAGCTTTAAGGTATGTGCACTAAATTCAATCCCACCCTGCTCCATATGTTGCACCTTGTGATTCAGAATGTCATTCATCCTTCTGGTTGCCTCTGTTGTATAAGATTCAGGGAAGCACTTCTTAGGGACAACACCATATTTTTCTAAAAGAAAACAAATTTTGGTGTTCAGTAAGGTAAAAGCATACTCCAGCATTAGAAACCTTGGCAAAAATAACCACTGCTTTAAAGAATAGGCCATGTTTTGCCATTCTAAATCAGAAAACTTAATTTTATACTTCATATTAATAAACAGGACATTAAATCTGCATATTTATCCATATATCTGAGACTGAATTCTGTTCTTTTTACCTATACTTTGTAAAACACTGAGCATGATGAGGTTTTCCCAAAAGACAACTTTTTGAATGAGAATACTTTCTAAATTTTTTTTTTTTTTAACGTTTATTTATTTTTGAGACAGAGAGAGACAGAGCATGAATGGGGGAGGGTCAGAGAGAGAGGGAAACACAGAATCTGAAACAGGCTCCAGGCTCCGAGCAGTCAGCACAGAGCCCGACGCGGGGCTCGAACTCACGGACCGCGAGATCATGACCTGAGCTGAATTCGGACGCTTAACCGACTGAGCCACCCAGGCGCCCCGAACGAGAATACTTTCAAACAGTTGCAGTTTCAAAGTTTTATGATGGACAAGAGATAAACTTTTTCATAGAAAGTCAGTTCTACTTAATACAACGATTCCATCTCCAACCAGCTCTTCACAGTACCTACCTCCTTACCTCTCATTTAAGAAAAGTACTTAATAGGTGAGAGTGTAAGATAAAGGTTCTTAAGCTAACTGTACACCCTTCTGGGAGACTAATTCTACTCTGTACATAACCACCAAAGAAATGGCCCACGCCCAACTACAGAGCCTTGCTTGATCATACGGACTTTCAGTTCCATTAGAGAAATGCTCTTACCAACAATATTGACAAGCATATCCCACTGTCCACCATCATTTGCGGGATTCGTAAGCAAATACTGCACCAGCCTACCATCCTCGGGCTCTTTTTTCTGGGCTGTGTCCACAAAAGCATTTAAGAAGAAATAACAACGTTCAACCTGGAGTAAAAGAAGTTAAATAAAATTAAAGGAAAAGAGAGCTAATACTTTTATTGACATTATCAACACAACAGGATTTTTGGACCTAACACCATAATAGGTATTTTTAAACTAAAGTTGGTAATTAAGTATCAGTATCTGGCTTCATATTTAAAGTTTCTTCATATATTTCTGTAGATATGTTCAATAGTTTATCCAAAATAATGCACTATTCTATTTAGATACAAAATCTGAAACAAAGTCTTAATCAATAAACATCTAATGGATGCTTATATAACATACACTTTAAAAATTAAAAAATGAAATGAAATTTTTATTTACTGTTTTTCTAACAAGTATTACCTGGATGGGAAATTAGGCCATAGAAAGACCAAAGAACCTAAATAAAGATGCTCAAAGGGGAAATTATTAAAAACAAAATAAAAAATTTTAAATAAGCTAAGAAAGAAACAAGGAAGCATCAGGGTGAGTCAGTAGACTTATTATTTCATTGCAAAGAGTAGCCACCTACCAACCAAAAGCAGTTCTGTGTTTGAAGAGAGTCAACCTTTGATACTTTGGAAATCAGAATAAATGGTGTCCCATCTATAATGGAAGGCAGACTATAACTGGAAAAGCAAGAAATGAAGAGATAGTCCCTACCAACGCTGATACTGAAAAAAAAAGCCTTGCAAGATCAATCCCATACCTTGTCCCAGAAAAAGAGATAAGATTGACTAAACTCAAATTCTTCAATATTTAATTTTTTCATGAATGGAAGTCTCATAACATTCAGACAAGAAAAGATCCAGCATCGCCCTGTAACAAGAAAGCAAACCAAGAAATTAGAATGAGTGTTCACATAGATTACATTGTTCTATCCCTGTTTCCTAAAACTGAATGCATGACAAGATCTTCGACAATTTAAAACTAAATCAGAAAGAACAGAAAGATTAAAACAAGGGGCACCTGGCTGGCTCGGTTGGAAGAGTATGTGACTCTTGATCTTAGGGTTGTGAGTTCAAACCCCACATTACTTAAATAAATAAACTTAAAAAAAAACACACAAGAAAGGTCAGAATTAGTATTTGAAATATATACGCAAAGGCTTAAAGTCCTTAACATATGAAAAAAACTCTTTACATATCATTTAAAGAACCCAATACAAATCGCCTAAGAAAATCACATTAGAAAAAGAAAATACTGCTAGAGAGATGTGAGCAGAGATCATGAATAGATAGATAACTTAATGGCCGAAAAAGATATAAATGGCAAAGAAACATTTTTCGAAGTTTATCATAAGATACCTGTTAAGTTGGGATACATTATTTTTTAATTAATAATGCCCAATATTGAGAAGGATTTGGGAAACAGCATTATTGTACACTCTGGATATAGACTCAAACAGGCACAAAATATCTGAAAGCAAATTGGCAATATATGGCAAAAATTTTAAAAAGTCCCTACCTTTTTTTAATGTTTTATTTATTTTTGTGAGAGAGAAAGAGAGAGCAAGTGCGAGAGAGGGCGTGTGTGTGTGGACACGAGTGAGCAGGGGGCAGAGAGAATGAGACAGAGAATCCAAAGCTCTACCAGGCTACACACTGTCAGTGTGGAGCTCGAACCCACGAACCATGAGATCATGACCTGGGCCGAAGTCAGATGCTCAACCAACTGAGCCACCTGGGTGCCGCAAAAAGTCCCTACCCTTTAATCTGGAACACGTAGTGTATGCTTCAATATAAGGTGACCCTAACATAAGTCAATCCCCATTCTCCCAAATTAAAAAAAGGTTGTTGGGGGGCGCCTGGGTGGCGCAGTCGGTTAAGCGTCCGACTTCAGCCAGGTCACGATCTCGCGGTCCGTGAGTTTGAGCCCCGCGTCAGGCTCTGGGCTGATGGCTCGGAGCCTGGAGCCTGTTTCCGATTCTGTGTCTCCCTCTCTCTCTGCCCCTCCCCCGTTCATGCTCTGTCTCTCTCTGTCCCAAAAATAAATAAAAACGTTGAAAAAAAAATTAAAAAAAAAAAAAAAAAAAGGTTGTTGGGACACCTGACTGGCTCAGTTGGTAGAGCATGCAACTCTTGATCTCAGAGTTGTGAGTTTAAGCCCCACGTCGGGTATAAAGATTACTTAAAATCTTCAGGAAAAAAAGAAAAAGTTGTTTGGCTAACTGGATCATACAGACACTGGAAAATATAGACGAAATAGTAACTGTCCACCTATAATATTTAATTTAGTAATTTAAATATAAACAGATATTTAATAAATTGACGTAGAAACATTGTTTCTTCCACTTTCACATGTCATTTTCACATTGATTCATATCTTCACTTGCATTTTGGTATCAGTGCTTTTGCCATCATTAGATGTACTCTTTCAATGGAACACTTCATCTTTCTTCCATCTAGCATGTTTGAGTCACAGCGATGTTTTAAATCTATCCTTCGTGCTATCCCTGAAAACCGTATGCCAGCATCAATTATACAATCACATTTCTCATTTGTTCAGTAAGTAGATAATCACAAACTTTACAATGTCACCATTTCCTTAATGATTTAAGTGATCTTTAAAAGATCTATTTACAATGATATCCAACATTTCCATGTGAGGTCACATCCTAGGAATATATTATGTTCAAATTTTTCGCATTTTTAAAAAACTGATTCAATCAAATGATCTCTACACGCATCCCAAACTAACACAGATTGAGGCCATTTCAGAGTTAAGTGCTTACCAAATTGTATTTTACTTCAAAATAAATTAACCACAAGTGTTCATTATGAGGATCTCTGTAAGGCCTCAAATATAAGGTAACTCTCTTTACTAAAAGAAAATTCAGGGGGCGCCTGGGTGGCGCAGTCGGTTGAGCGTCCGACTTCAGCCAGGTCACGATCTCGCGGTCCGGGAGTTCGAGCCCCGCGTCGGGCTCTGGGCTGATGGCTTGGAGCCCGGAGCCTGCTTCTGATTCTGTGTCTCCCTCTCTCCCTGCCCCTCCCCCGTTCATGCTCTGTCTCTCTCTGTCCCAAAAATAAATAAA